AACTAGAACTGAACTAGAACTGAACTAGAACTGAACTAGAACTGAACTAGAACTGAACTAGAACTGAACTAGAACTGAACTAGAACTGAACTAGAACTGAACTAGAACTGAACTAGAACTGAACTAGAACTGAACTAGAACTGAACTAGAACTGAACTAACTGAACTAGAACTGAACTAGAACTTAACTAGAACTGAACTAGAACTAGAACTGAACTAGAACTGAACTAGAACTGAACTAGAACTGAACTAGAACTGAACTAGAACTAAACTAGAACTGAACTAGAACTGAACTAGAACTGAACTAGAACTGAACTAGAACTGAACTAGAACTGAACTAGAACTGAACTAGAACTGAACTAGAACTGAACTAGAACTGAACTAGAACTGAACTAGAACTGAACTAGAACTGAACTAGAACTGAACTAGAACTGAACTAGAACTGAACTAGAACTGAACTAGAACTGAACTAGAACTGAACTAGAACTGAACTAGAACTGAACTAGAACTGAACTAGAACTGAACTAGAACTGAACTAGAACTGAACTAGAACTGAACTAGAACTGAACTAGAACTGAACTAGAACTGAACTAGAACTGAACTAGAACTGAACTAGAACTGAACTAGAACTGAACTAGAACTGAACTAGAACTGAACTAGAACTGAACTAGAACTGAACTAGAACTGAACTAGAACTGAACTAGAACTGAACTAGAACTGAACTAGAACTGAACTAGAACTGAACTAGAACTGAACTAGAACTGAACTAGAACTGAACTAGAACTGAACTAGAACTGAACTAGAACTGAACTAGAACTGAACTAGAACTGAACTAGAACTGAACTAGAACTGAACTAGAACTGAACTAGAACTGAACTAGAACTGAACTAGAACTGAACTAGAACTGAACTAGAACTGAACTAGAACTGAACTAGAACTGAACTAGAACTGAACTAGAACTGAACTAGAACTGAACTAGACTGAACTAGAACTGAACTAGAACTGAACTAGAACTGAACTAGAACTGAACTAGAACTGAACTAGAACTGAACTAGAACTGAACTAGAACTGAACTAGAACTGAACTAGAACTGAACTAGAACTGAACTAGAACTGAACTAGAACTGAACTAGAACTGAACTAGAACTGAACTAGAACTGAACTAGAACTGAACTAGAACTGAACTAGAACTGAACTAGAACTGAACTAGAACTGAACTAGAACTGAACTAGAACTGACTAGAACTGAACTAGAACTGAACTATCCTCCATTGTTTAAATAATCCTATATTTATACATATGATCTTTCTTTTAAGAAAAGTAACGACTAGCTCTACACACATTTAATATAATTGTAACAAATACTACATGAACTTACACACTTCATCCTACATGTGTACGTACATAAATACGTTAGTACAACAATAATAACAATAAAAAAATTACATGTTGTAATTGTGTAAGATTGTAATGTAATGGGGGTAACAAATACTTTACAGCAACATTCTCATATATGTACATTTGCTCCCTAAGCGACCCGGTAGTTTAAAGTACATTAGCCCAGAAAATTACTGTCAATTATAAATGGAATCTGCAATACATTACTAAGTATCAGCAAAAAACACGACTGACTTGACTTTGGAATACTAAGGAACACTGAAATGACAATTTTCTGTATAAAGAGTAGAACCGAGCAATTACACTTTTGGGAAACGAATCTGAGTGATTGGTCCCCTTGTGAAACTACTGGGTAATAAAAAGAAAAGTATTTTATAGAGACACTAACATGTTAGTTTTTCTTTTTTGGTAATAAAATGTAGCATATTTTATGGCGTTACATTAATGTTCATATGAATAGATGCTTATGTGTGGAATAGTTACAATGGTAATAAATTTCTTTTTTATATTATTGTTTCTAATTGAGACAAAATATTAACAAAATGAACATAAATATATTAACTATTTTTATTAAAGTTGAAATTAAGAAAAACACATGTAACCAGTTAAATACATAATACAATAGAGACAATAATTTAAACTTTTTACATTTCTTAATGTTAACTAAACGACTAACGCTAAATGTTTTCGAAAACCAATAAATTTTATTTAAATTGTAAATTTTGTATATTTCAATTTAAATAGAGCACAAGAAATTTAAGGTACAAGAAAATAAGCCAAAATAATATTTATAAAAATATTTCATTATATTTTATTTTTATTGGTATTGGTGTACTTGTAAAATAATAAAAAACTTTGCTACCACCAAACTTACAAAAAAAAAAAAATAATAAATACAAATGGAAGTTTTTAAATGTTGATACTTTATACGATTGAATGAAATTTTGTTCGTTTGTACTATTCAACAGAAGAAATATTTATTTCAATTTTAATACTTTTCATATTTTTTTAGTTATAAGTATACACAATACAAACACATATATACATACAAGTGTATATAGAAGTGATATTAACAATATAATATTTATATTCACAAGTAACAAAATATAAAGAAAAAATCCTATATTCAGGGTGCAGAATGTAAAGCTAATATGAAAAAAAAAGTTACACGAGAAAAAGATAAAAATTCATAAAATCCCAATTTCATATGAAAAAAAAACACAGATATTGTGTATATGTATAAAATAATGCAAACATATACAGTATTTTCATATCATTAGCTTTTATGCAGGATTTACTCTCCCACCCACAAACATCATCACAAATATTGCAAAAATCAAACATAAACTTACATCAATGTAAGTAATTCTAACACACTTACTATACAGTGAATATCAAAACTAGTTGAACAGTGTAAAATAATCTTTAACTGTGTTGGAGGATTTAATACTTTAACTATATAGGCTGTCTCATTTAAATTGTTACCCACTGTATTCACAAGTACATTTCAAGAATATCCTAGCAGCATGTGTGTTTGTGTTCATATAAATATTACTCATATTCCTGTTCAACAAGCGAACTTCAAAGAGATTTCTTTATTTTTTTTTTTGCTAACTCATACGATAAATAATAATAATAATAAAAAATATATGTGTATTTTTATTTTTGTACAAAAATTTTTTTTTTTTTCGAAAATACAACAAATAGCAAACAGCAAGCAATAACAAGAACAAGAACATCATCATATTTAGTTGGAAATTGTATGTGTATGAAACTGTAAAAATAGCTTAATAGCATTTTGCGTATGTACTCTAGGAAGGACCATAAAAAAGAGAAAGCAAAAGTCTCGGACAAAAAATTGGAATTCTTTAAAAGATTTTCTGTTGTATTTCAAGGCTCTTAAACCTTACCAATTATTTCTAACTAATCTTCTCTCCTTATGATGTTAACAACAGTATATCCTGGTATATTATAGCAAATCATTCAAAGTTGTTGCCCTTCTCTGTTGGGCCCTATCGCCGATATATATGTCTCACTTTTGCGAAAACGGTGCAATTAGTTTGTTCATCCATTTGTAATTTCCTGAATATGCAGTAAATCAAGAATATTAGGGACTTGTCTGTCTGTATGTATGTCTGTTAAAATGAATTTGTTAAAAATCCATTAAATCGGCAAATCCGGTTCACAAGGAAGTGAAATATAAGAAAAATTCCCATCAAAATTCAGCAGACTAGCTTTAATAGTTTCACAAATATACGATTTTTTGTATGTAATTCATAAAGGAGGTGCCACGCCCCCTGTTGCTTGTCCGCCCTTATTTATATTAAATACTAAGGGGCCTCCATAAATATTTGAGAAATATAACTGTTATATTTTCACAGATATATTAATTTAATATATTCTTTATATTCTTATAGTGGTGTTCCGCCCACTATTGGCTGTCCGCCCATTTTGTTCTCAAATGTTTATATAAATGTCAAAGTTTTCCGTGAAAAATTTAGAACTTGATTTCTGAAAAAATCAACTTTTAATATATACATATTTTGTATTAGGGCGTGGCACCTCGCCTAGTTGTAATTTCTAAATAAATTTGTTCAATTGTACCCTTTGTCTGTCTGTCCGCCTGTCTGTATGTCTGTCTGTCTGTCTATCTATCTGTCTGATCGGTCTTTATTTGACCCTAGCCCCCTTACAAAGTCCTCCTCCAAAAATGCTTGAACATCATTAATTCCATTATAAACACTTGTATTTAGATGAAATTTGACATAACAAACGAAAAATATTACGAAGTATGTATATGAATAGTATAACATGACATAAAGTTTAGGGGGCCTCCTAATGCACCAGTATGTTTTGTATTTGTATATTTTCCTGTGTATATTGCTCTAAAGTGGGCTTCAATTTACTGGTTTTAGGATTTTTCTATTTTTCATTTTTTTTCAAACATATTTTTTTTTCCTTTTCACATACTCACTCATACACTTTATATTAATTTCGCGTTTGTATAGGTTTTCATATGGGTTAGTGATTTGTATTTCTCTACTTTTTGGTTTTTTGTTTGTGCTGTGCTGCTATTACGCTTAAAGCCTTCAAAGGATTTGTGTTATTTCTCAAAAAAATTTTAAGATTCTTTTTTAATTGAACTTAGCAAAGGCTTCTAAGTAAGCATATGGTAATCGTAAAGGTCAAAAGACACACACAAAAAATGTGCAAAAAGAAATTGCTTAGAAATTGTATCAACTTAACTTTTATATAATTTGATACTTTTATTTAAAAGAAAAAGAGACTTAAATTAAAGTTTTAAATTTTGAAAACCAATTTTATTTTAAGCAAATTGATGTTTGATTGAAAAAAACATTATATTTGAAAATTTTCATTAAAAGCTTTCCTCACTTAAAAACAATATGTTTAAATCTTTATAATCACCGTTTAATAAATATATATTTTTGTTTAATTAAAAGTAGTTTTTAATAATATGCACATAAATATTCATATTTAAAACTTCTGCCATTTGTAGTCCCTTATATTGTCATTGTGTTTTTTTTAATTATAATTCCCTTGATTAATAATGCAAAAATTATCTGCAAATTAATAATAATACTTACGTTAACAATTGTGTTGTATCACGTTCCACTTGAAAAAGATTTCTAGATGTATAATCATTAAAATTTGATATGGCTTTACTAATATCCTTGCTGCCATCAATGACAGCTTGATTTTTACCCCATGTCTCTATATACACTACCGACACTCGTGTATTCATGGTGCGAAAGTACTGCAAATAAAATTGAATAGAAAATAATATAATTATTTAATGTAAAGAGATAATTTAGAAATTTAAATAAATATTTAACAATTTAATAAAATAATCTTCCTTTCTTATTCAATACAAACACTAATAGTGTATTAAGTAGGTTTTGAGTTGCTAGCTACTTATTACTTTTACTAATGCATACTAGTATTACCCTGTAGTTTTCGGTTAGCTATCCCGAACGTATATTTTAAATGATTTGAAATAATTTTAAAAAGTGAGTCTCTTCAAAATATGGATTAAATAGTTTTACATATCGAGGGACTATATTCAATAGTCTCTATCTAAAATAATACAAGTTTTCAGGAGAGCAAAAAAACAGTTTATTTCGCTAGTTCGTGAAGATTTTTTAATTTTTTCTTTTACAATATATTTTTACGACCATATTCTAAACCATTATATAAAAAGAATTTTAATTTTTGCATTATTTACAAAATTATTCACAAATTTATATCAGATAGAGCTTATTTTTCTACGAAAATGTTCATTCAACCAACAGATAGAGAGTTTTTCATGGAAACATAAAATTTTTATTTGAATTAAAATCAATAAATATTATATTTTATACAATTTAATGGAGGAAAAGAAAAAAATTGTTGAAAAAGCAACAGATTATAATGTTTTGGTCCAAAATCAATGTTATATGGTTAAACACGACAATAAAATTGATTTAATTAGTATCATAATGAGCGATATCTCAAAAACTATTAAACCGATTTTAAATATTTTGACGGATTTGTGTTCAGCATGTCTAAATTATTAAGAAGACTTGTTTTGCAACAGAAAATTATCCAAAGGGATCGAGTTTGAAGCAATTTTTGGATAAGATAGAGAGTTTTGCATTCAGAATTTTTCTTTTTTTAAGATAGAGAAATTTAAAAAATGCTATAAAATTGATAAAAAATATTTTTTTTTTTCTTTGAAATTTATATCACTGATGCGCGATAGTTTGCTGAATATTTTGCCATCATAATCTCATTTTCATAAAAATGAGAGATAGCGACTATTAAATATAGTCCCTCGATATGATTTCAACTTATTTCAATAAGTCAAGAGAAGAGTGTGTCAGAAATTTCATTAAATTATCGTTAAAATTGCAAGGTTTACATGGACAACCAGACGGACGGATGGACGGACAGACGGTCATAGTTTAAATGGTATACTTTAAGGAGGGTGTAGGACCAATATTTTGGGTGTTTAAAATTGCAACCTGTATCGCAAGGTTAACCTGGACACACAGACGGACAGACACACAGACGGCCAGACGGTAATAGTTTAATCGTGTGATTCTGTAAGTAAGCTATTCTGAGCGGATTGATATACTTTAAGGGTGTAGGGCCAAGAACGCATAATACCCTCTCCACAATAGTGGTTGGAGTATACAAATTCGTAAGTCTGTTAAATATTTGCCAAAAAACAAAGTCTAGAAAGGATACATTGACTCCCTGTTAAACTTCTGGGTTATTCTACTAATACATAATAGTAGTACTTAATTATTTATAATGTTATAAATTCAATTTATTTTCCTTTTAATAAAATTTCACGAAAAAAGAACATTTCAATTAAAATTAAGTATAGAAACGAACGAACAAGGAAAAATTACAAAAAAAAAAAAAAAAAAAAAAATTACTTGCAATATTAAAACTAAGTCTTTTGCAGATTAAATAGAAATCTAAGGCAAATGAATTATTGTTGCTATTGTTGTTGGAAAACTATATTTTCCCTCTACATTTACGAAACAGTAACAGCGACTAAAAGGGCCACGAAAGGGAGGAGAGGTGAGAATACATGAGATGAAAATGCGTTTTGACACGAACATGCATGATTTATTAGCTTGGCCAACCAGTAAAACCCCAAAATATAAATAAAACAAAAAAACCAACAACATACAAACATTTACAGCAACATATAGCATGTAAGGACGGAAAATGTTGCAACATGATGTGAATGTTAAGATGCTGCTGCTTAAGTTTATTAAATAGTTTAAACAAAACACAAATACACACAACTCAAATTGAGAGGAGGGTATGAATTGGCAAAAAAAATGATTGCATGAGAAAGACTTAATAGCCTGATACTTAGAATGCATAGTTAGTTATCCTTCTATTTGAAACAACTGCTACTCCTTGCAGCAACAACAACAACATTTCAAGAGAGTTTTAATATGTGTTGCAAGACAGGACAAGCAGAGGCAAGGCAAGTTAAGATAAAATTGCATTTTAGGCTAAATGACTTGTAGTTTTCTTAAACAAATGTTATAATGAATCGTTACCATGATGATCTGTTGAACAAGGCCAGGCATTTATTTATTTTATATTTCTATAGGAATTACAAAAACAATTACACACAGACATATAGATACATGGACACCAAAACAAAGAAAAAGATAAAATGATGCTGCAAAAGAGGTATAAATACTGGGATTTGTCAGACGGAAGTGTCTATACAACAAAAATAAAAACTATATAACCATAACTCTGGTTGAAACTAAGACTTAAACTTAAATAAAGAAATAATCTTAATTATAATGTTATACAAAACAATTCTGTGGCAACAAGGATAATTTATATAAAACTTTAGCCAGTAACATTGAACGATGTCGATACTTTCCTAAGTTTTGATGCGATTTTTATAAAAGGTTGGTACAAAGTATAGTTGAGTAGGGCCTTCGGTTGGTTAGTGGTTAGCGTTATACTCTGGTAGACCGGATAGGAGGGTTTGATTTCCAACCGAGGCACTGATTAAAAAGCGCACAACACAATATATACATCCTCCTTTCTAACTAACTAACTAAGTAACTAACTAACTAACTAACTAACTAACTAACTAAATAACTAACTAACTAACTAACTAACTAACTAACTAACTAACACTAACTAACTAACTAACTAACTCTAACTACTAACTAACTAACTACTAACTAACTAACTAACTAACTACTAACTAACTAACTAACTAACTAACTCTACTAACTAACTAACTAACTACTAACTAACTACTACTAACTAAACTCTAACTAACTAACTACTAACTAACTACTAACTAACTAACTAACTAACTAACTACTAAACTAACTAACTAACTAACTAACTAACTAACTAACTAACTAACTACTAACTAACTACTAACTAACTAACTACTAACTACTAACTAACTAACTAACTAACTAACTACTAACTAACTAACTAACTAACTAACTAACTACTAACTAACTACTAACTAACTAACTAACTAACACCTAACTAACTACTAACTAACTAACTACTAACTCTACTAACTAACTAACTACTAACTAACTACTAACTAACTAACTAACTAACTAACTAACTAACTAACTAACTAACTAACTAACTAATTAACTAACTACTAACTAACTTACTAATTAACTAACTAACTAACTAACTAACTAACTAACTAACTAACTAACTAACTAACTAACTAACTAACTAACTAACTAATTAACTAACTAACTAACTTACTAATTAACTAACTAATTATCAAATCAAATTTGGGGATTCTAGTTCTAATAGTTTCCTAAATATACAATTGTTTATATATAATTCATATAGGAGGTGACAAGCATCCTATTACTAGACCGCCATTTTACCACGAACTGTTAACATGGACGTTATGTTTATTGCGAAAATTTGGCGCACTCCCACTTTTTCTACAACACTTATCGGGGCATGGCACCTTCAGTTCCTTTTGGGTAGGAAAGCTGTGTTAAAATTTCAATTGGTCCATCCGTTAGTCCTCTATAGACTTCTGAGTTTCAAGTTGATACGTGTATGTAAAAGAAAAGTGCTGTCTTCTTCTAAAATTAGTTTTTTGGTTTGTAGTTATAAAATTGATAATTGAATGTACATACATATGTATGAGCTTTTAATCTATGTATGTATATATTTTCAATATTTTTTTCTACCAAATATACCAATACCATTTAAATCGATTTTAAAGATCTCAAATTAGATCAATTCTTTTATGATAATCTTCATAACATACACAAGATGATGTTTAATAAATAATTTTCAATTGAAAAATTAAAAAAAGTGGACAAACATCCTTAGGTTATATAGCTTATATTAAAATTAAAATATTTTTTTTTTTAAAGAAATAAAACAATACACTCACATATACTGTTTGTTATAACTTGGCAATGCTTTGTTCTCATAATAAAATACTTTTCATACATATTTTTTCTAAGAATTTCCTTTAAGGCTCTTTATCGATATAATAATGCGGCAAAAGCGAAGATAATTGTTTATTCTATAGTGGAAATAAAGCTTATGGAAACTAATTTACTCACTTGCATGAATATTTCTTTACAAGAAAATTTTATACGCCAAAGAACAAAAATTAATACGTACAAATAACAAATACAAGCCGCAGGACAAAACCTTGAGAAAGATGGAAAAAATACTTATATACTTACATACATACATACATATAAATATGTATGCATAAGTTTTTTAAATGATTTAATGTGTGTGGGTGAGGGTTTATAATTTTGAAGCTTTTTTTAACATTAAGAAAAAAACACGAGTAATGAATTTTTTTTTATTTTTTGGCAAATTAAAAGCAAAAGTTTACTTTTACTTTAAAGAAATAAAACAACCCAAAATAGCAACACCAAAGTACTTACAACATAAAGGGAATAAGAGATGAAATGCACAAAAAGGGTTACAAATGTTTATTAATAAAGAAACTAATTGTGTAAACCCCTTAATAGACTTAACAAAGAGAATAAAACGTGTAAATGGCAAGTAAAAAGCCCCCCAAAAAGGCCAACTTTTTGAGGTTGCAGTTAAATATGCTTAAAGAAAGCAAGAAAAAATACATATAATTGGTTTAATTTTAAGAAAATGTTAAACAGCAAGAATAATGTTAAGGGTTTCTTTAAAGGATTTTATTAAAATTTCCAACACTTTTTCAAAACTAAACTTTAAGAATGAAAAATGAAAATCCTTTTTGTAGATATTTGTAATTTCTGAACTCGTACGTTTATATGTATGTACATATTTACACACGACTACGTTTTTTTATTTCTTCCCTCCTTTTTTTGTGAGGAACTTAAGAGCAGGGGTGGCATACGTAGTAGGCTGCAGCTAAATTCAACAAAACTAAAGGCAAAAGTGGTAGAAGAAAAACCCGGAAGTGCTTGCCAACCATTCAAACAAATGTTAAAAGTGTGTTGTGTGTATGTGTGAGTATTTGGATGTTTTAGTAAGGAACACACACACATACACCGAAAAGAATAAAAAAACAACAACAGCAATGGAAATAAAGAAAAAGAAACGTGCAAATGTTAGTTTTTTTCTAGCTTTGTTTGTATATGTGACACTCTTCCTCTGTTCCAGAGAGTATGTATGTGTTTTCGTTGAACCCAGTAGTTTTAGGAGGACTCATTCTACTCCCTTTAAGAGATATTTTCCCAAATGCTTAGTTTCATGGCTGACTGACTCGGAAAGAACTTTGTTCCTAAGTATTCTAAATGGAGGTCTCTTGAATGCTTTTTATTTTGTACTTTATACAAAAGTAATATATTGTAGTGTCAATAATTGAATTGAAATGTGATTGGAAATGACAAAAGGATCATCAGAACAGTTACCAAGAACTGCAGGGAAATTTTGTACTTCGTAATATATGTACTGGTAGTTTAGGTATATGTCCCAGTGTGTGTTTAGTTAAGTAAAACAACTGAAAAATATAATAATACTTTTATGCCTTTTGCTTTATAGAAACAGTCACGACTGACTTACTTATATTTGTTAATATGTTTGTTTGATGATATATTATTAGGTTAAAAAAAAAGTTATTTCATAAGCATAATTTGAAAACATAAACTCTAGACATGTACATCGAATTACACGAAGGAGGTATTGAAAACTTAATCAGATGATTTTTAACGAAGTTATAACTGACTGAAAAGATACTTTTTCCTTTCTTTTAAGATATATTGTTTATTGAAGGCTGGAAGTTATGATTGTAATGTAAGAGAGTGTCCATTATACAAAACTTCTCTGAAGGTGTCTGACTGCAAATTTATAAATTACTAGTTTATCACGACAGCTTCGCTTCGAAGTAATTTGGATTACAAATAAATACTTATAAATATGGAGTTAAAAAATTTGTTTTGTTTTACGCACAAAAAATACGAAAATGAAAAATTGATAGTAGAGATTTTCAGGAATTCACATATTTAATTATACCCTACACCACTCTAGTGGGGAGGGAATTATGCGTTTGTGCTGATGTTTGTAACCCACCTTAAAATATACCAATTGGCTCAGAATCCTTTTCTGAGTCGATTTAGCGTTGTGTGTCCGTCCGTCCTTCTGTCTGTCCGTCTGTCTGTCTGTGTGTTCATGTAAAGCTTGTGCGCACACTACAGGTTGCAATTTTCAAGACAATTTGATGAAATTTGTCACATACTGGTTAAAATCGGTAGAAATTTAGCCTTGCCCCCATACAACCGTAATTCAATAAAAAAAGATACCATTTGATGGACATTGATATACATACGATATGTACTATTTTATATTCTTCAATATTTAAAGCGTCAGTTAAAGAAAAAAAGTAGCAAAAAAATTAACCATCATTCAATTGGAACCAATTTTCCTCATATCTTGTAAATACTGCATTTGTGTAAAGTACTATTCATTTGTATAAAAAGTGCATTTAAAAAAAGTACCAAATTTGATCCTAAGTAGAGTTTGGAATGTGAGTTCCAAAGTGTACGCAATTAAATGTAACTAAATCTGACAATTTGTAAAATTTAATCAAAATTGCCTCAATGAGTTTGGATAAATTTAAAATTCTTATTTCTACGCCCCTTTTGGTAGATTTTCTCTTCCCAGAGACAAACCAATTAATACAAAACAGTACCTTACAAAAAAGTACCAAAAAATAAGTAAATTGTTTACTCCTTAAGTGTCCGAATTTTCCAAAAGTACCAAACTTATATTCGTAATTATTCAATAAGGTACGAATGTGATATAAATTTTACTTTTCTTGTTAACAGGTTTAAAAGATACAGGTTGTCAGGTTTAAAAGGTACCAAAAAGTACTAAAATACAGTTTTACCCGTTTACTCATAAAAAATCAAATTTCCAAAAGTTGCTATTTATGAGATATGAGGTTACCGAATCGACCCTTTTTTACCCCCTAAAAATTCGAATATCTAAAACTCCCTCCTAAGCGGATCTACATGACCGTCTAAAGATCTTGATTTTAGGTATAGACTGTGTTATGATCAATCAGTCAGTTACACAACAATTTTATAGATATAGATTTTAAAATTTAGAAATGACTTTTTCGCATAGCAAATAATCTACCACGTACTTGCACCACATACATAAACAACTGCTAGTATATTGCTCTGTTTGTAGGTACAATTGTAAATTGGTAAAGTACGTTCGAGTTTTACAGAGAAACGAGTAAAAGAGAAAATTCATTTGTACGTTTTGCAAAACTTAAGATTTATGTTTTGCATTTAAAAGATTTAAAGCCTCCTGTGGTGAGACTAAAATAAAAACTTTGGTTTTTTGCAGGAGTATTTTCTTGTTTGTATTATTTTCTCTAACCAACAGCCGACAAAATTAAAGAATAAAACAAAAAACACGACGATACAAAAAAAAAACTTTAAAGAAAACTAAAGTAAAAGTAGAGTAAAGCTTTATTTAGGTCTAAATAAAAATTAAGAAAAAATTTAAAATAAATATAAACACAATCTTATAACACAATTTTTAAGTCAACATTATACATAGGTACTTACCAAATCGGCTATGTTGGCCACTTGTATGGCATCATGTATCACCTCCGCTCGGGTGCTACCATTACGTTTATCGAACATGGCTTTGTCTACAATTATGGCAGTTTCTATGTATTTGGTGGCCTCGCGGACATCACGTTTATAGCGACCGGCACCATTTGGATGTACCTCATCAATAATACCAGCTGATAGATGTTTTGTGCGGCGTGAGAGACGCCATGAATCCAGATTGCCTGAATTGGCACAACCCTTATTGGCTTTTGTGCGTGCCTCAAATATGACATGCGGATGCTTCTGCTGAAACCAAGCACATTCAAGTATGAGCAATGTGATTTTAATAGTTATAGAATACTTATAGAGAGACGACTACAAAATACTTAAACAGGTGGAGAAAAATCTTAAATCTAAGAGTATTGAAGTGTTTTGTATTGCGACATATTGTTTAAATTATGGTAAGTATTATGTATTTGTTATGTTGTCTGTTGATAACCTGTCAATCAGTTTAGAATATATAAATAAATTTACAACCCGTATATAAATTTCAAAGATAAAAATCTTAAATTTTATTTGCAAAAAAAAAATACAAAAAGAAAATAGTCTTCATGATGGCAAAATCATGCAAAATTTTCGATTAAAGTAATTGCACATGTTATGTTTGTAGCCATTTTTATTGTCGTCGTTGTTGTTTTTTTCTTCATCTGCCACAAATTTCTTTCTCAATTATCAGTATTCAGTATGTGTAGCATATAAAAACAACAAATACCGTTTTTCTCTCATTGTGTTCGTGCATAAACAAATATGATAAATTCTGTTGCATAAGTTTCGGGAGCGGGTGTTGTATGATTGTGATGATGATGATGATAATGGTGGTGGTGATACCAAAAATCATACACAAAACAAAAGAATTGCTGTGTCAGTTAATTTTTATTGTTCATATTTGAGTTGTATGTATGTATGAGTCTGTGAAAAAGTAATAATACACCCAAAGTGTGTTCGTGCATGTGAAACTGTTTTTCTGTCTGTCTGTTTGTGTGAATACATTGAATTGAAATTTGATATTTTCTTAATTTTTTTTTATTCATAGTATGCATATTTTTGTTAGTATTTGGAGAAAAGGGGCAAAATTTTATTCCAGAAAATAATACTTGAACATTTTTATGAATAAAGTGAAGAGTTTTTTTCATTTACTACACACAAAAAGAATGAGGACTGGCATCAGTTTATTTTAGAAATGTCTTTGTAAGATGTTTCCTGTGTGTCCATGAAAATCTTGTGCGCACGCTACAGGTAGCAATTTTAAATTTTCTTTTGGCCTGAGAACGAAGATTATTGAAAGTAGTTAAAATAGGTCCGTTATTTCGCCTAGCCCCCATACAACCATATCCGCCGAATAGCGATTTTGAGCTCATAAATTTTCTTACATCTCTACAAAAATCGGCGATTGTGTTTCATTTGACCCTAGCCCCTATTAAAAAGTCCCCTTCAGAAAATGACTTGAAAATCGAAACAAAATTAACTTATAAACACTTATATCATAATAAAATTATATCACGATAAAAATTATAAGAATTGGTTCATATTTACTCTTACCAGTATAACCCCTCTTTCAGATTTTAAAATTTTTTGTCAAAAAATTGTTAAAATATTTCGTATTGACGGAAATTTTTCCAAAAATTTCCTTTTGATAGAAAAAATTTCTCTTCATATGAAAATTGTTGGAAAAAAATATTTTTATAGCAAATTTTCGAAAAATTTATAAAAATTTTCTTATATTTCTTTTTGGATTTGACAGATTAATATTATTATATCAACTGTTGGATGTTTAAAGGTCTTCTTAAATTTCCCTAAGGACATTAAATAGTTGATGCTGAAAAACTATAACCAACAATTCCATTTAGGTGTTAATATTAAATTTTCCACCTAAACTTTATTTTGTCTAAAAATTTTCAAATTTACCCAACTTAAAACATTTCTCTTCAAGGTAAACTTTTAAAGTAAATTAAGAAAAAAATCCTGTATGTTTTGCAATTTCCTTCGCAGTAATATACATACATATATGTAAGTGAATGTATGTACATATGTGAAATCCTTTTTCCCCTAGATTTATTTACTTTAAAGTAAACGAATGACATTCACTAACAAAAATTAATTAAAATTCAATTAAAATGTGTAAAACAACAACATGCTCTTGCTCCTGACAAAGTCACAGCAACAGCAGCAGGAGCAACAGCAGGATCAAAAACATGACATTTAAAACACTAACACGGATTTGACTTGTAGTAATACTTATAAACATGTGTGTAGATATGTACATATATATATACACATACTTTTTATACCCTAGACCACTATACTGGAGAGGGTATTATTCGTTTGTGCTGATGTTTGTAACGCATAAAAATATTGGTCCTACGCCTACCTTAAAATATACCGATCGACTCAGAATCACTTTCTGTCCGTCCGTATGTCCGGCTGGCTGGCTGTCCATGTAAACCTTGTGCGCAAGCTACAGGCCACAATTTTCAAGATATTTTGATAAAATTTGGACCGTACGAGTTTTTTACAACCTTACCTTCCGATTTAGGGTTTTTAACGTCAAATATACTACTATCTCACCAAAAATTGGGACAACTAAGTTTTATATGGCATATATTTTATATGGAAAATTTTTATAATGATCGGCCGTCGTTTGACCCTAGCCCCCACACAAACACCCCTTTAAAAAATAACTTAAACGTCCAAAAATTTACTTATGACCACTAGTATCGCTATGAAATTCAGTATAACTAACCTTTATATAAAATTACATCCCTCTTCCCAATTTATTGAGGATCGGCCTATATTTGACCCTAACTCCCATATAAAGCCTCTTTTAGAAATTTAGTTTTTCATCAATAATTTGCTTAAATACATCGGAATTAAGGTAAAATTCAACATAAAAGTTTCTTTATTTAAAATAAATAATATTCAAAATATACCTATGGTGTAGGGTATCATATAGTCGGCCATGTCCGACTATACTTTCCTACTTGTTTATTTGTATGTATGTATATGTATGTACATTATGTTTACGAAATTTTGTAAAATCTATAGTCATATTCCTAGTAATGGTGACTATGACAACTATTTAGTGTGATTATGACGAGGATGACAACCAAAACAACAGCAAACAAAAAAATCCGTTTAAATTATCAACACCACCAGCAGCTGTAGTTAAGAAGCAAGAACAACAGTTTGTGATTTTTGAAATGACAGTTTTAAATTGGATTTACCTAAAAGATGTTGAATAAATTTAATAAAACTTTGGTATTGTCGTTTGCAGGTTATAACATAAATATAACTTAAAACCTTACATTGTTGAAACATTAATTTGAATTTGACAAGTAAGAAAAATTTTAGCAAATATATATAATATAAACGAAAATCTAAGATTGGTTTTCTAATTTTCTAAAATTTAACTTACATAAGAAACCTAATAGTTTAAAAATAACTTTAACTTCACATTGCTATAAAGTTGACAAGTATTTTTTTTCTTTAATTTAACCAACTAAATTACGTTAAATAAATAAACAAACTTTTTTTGAAAACCACATTCAACACATGAGTTGCATTGGTGTAAATAATAAATAAAACTTGATTACAAAGGACTTAATGTTATAGAGAATTTACTTCAAACTAATCTTATTTTAAACTTTATTTATGTTGATCGAAATGTAACAAAAGATTTCAACATTTTTCATGTATTTTTTTTTTCTGACAAAAAATATTTACAGTTTGCTTTGGAAACTGACTTTCATGTCAGTAGAATGTTAAAAAAAAAAAAAAAAAATAACTAAACAAGAAATTTGTCAAAAGCTTGCTATATTTTTCTAGATAAAGCAATGTTGTTTTTGTTTTTCTAAAAATAAAACTCTTGAGATTTAAAATGCAAACTCCATAGAAACTATAGAAACAGAATCAAAATCAAATTGAATTGAATACTCTCCACATGACACAATAACAATTGAAAGAATGACAAAGGCATGTATAGAATTTCACAAAATGTTTTTCTTTCCAATCAGACAATAACGAGAATCACACGAAACTTAGATACAGATAAAAGCCACCTACATACAACATGCACTCATATATACATACATATGTATATGTATGAATGTTGATACATAATATATGTATGTATGTGGAGAAGTATCTGTGACAGAGACACAATAATACTATTTAAATACAAAATACCAGAAACAGTTCGAAAACTAAGACTGAAAACTGAATTTGATTGATTTATGTCTAATGCGTAATGTTCAACACAAAAGATTAAAAGTGATGATATGTGCAACACACATACATGCAGGGATACTCACCCGTACACTCTTTTCTAGACAAAAATATATTTGCATAAGGGATGATAGGGAAATTGTACTTTTTCTCTTCTATTAGTACCAGATTCCAGGAATTATAGTATACGCACAATTGGGACGAACGACGATTTTTTCGGAACGAATATTCGTCGTCAGAAATAGAACACACTTGGTTATATGAAAATGTACACAATCATTGCGTATGACGAAATTCGTCGTACGTAACGAACTATGCGATTGGTTTATTTCTATTTCTTACGCAGTCGAACGACGAATTAATTGGGGAAAATTGTTTTAAAACCAATTCGGGTAGCCTGAATTTGCTGAAATTTTGCGGTTCTGAGTACAGCTAATGACAATACAATATTATGAAAATTCGAAGTTATGTTCGAAAAATTTTTTATGCTCTTAAAATAATCTCTGGAAACTAAAAATATAATTTTCGAAAATTCGAACTTAAGTTCCAGTTGGCAGTCTGGAGAACATTTGATGACACTACAATGCTTTGTTTGAATATTTAAAATTAAGTTCGAAAATTCGAAGTAATGTTCGAAAAAATTTTGAAGCTGTTAAAATAATCTCAAAATCGGGGATATTCACAAAAATATAATCTTAGTTCTTTTCAAAGTCAATTTCTTACATTTTCTAATTTCGAAATAATGTTAGAATAAATTTTAAAGCTGTTAAAATTATCTCAAAATCGTGGAGATTCACACAAATATAATTTGTGTTTCTTTTTCTTACTTTTTCCAATTTCGAACAAACAAATTTTGAAACGAATTCGCAGTACGAATAATTTGATTGTGTTCCATTCGACGAATTTACGCAACGAATTTTTGTCGACAAGTTCGTCGTGCTATACGAAATTCGTCGTTCGCCTCAATTGTGCGTATACCATTAGTATTTGGAGTGATTTTTTTTTTATATTTGTATAGAAAA